GTTGAGCCAGAAGTCATAACTTTGATGTGCTGATACCGCAATCAAAAGGATTTGTTGTTTTACACTTCTGTACTCGGTCATAATAGAAGTTACCTTTTACTTCCGCTATTGTTCTTTAGATTTGATTCCTTACTTGTTTCCATTGTTGATCACCACAAATAAAAAGCTGTTGTCGCTTCTTTATTAGAGACTTTATTCGTTAGTTTATCCAAGGTTTGTCGCTAGTATGGATTTTAACCGTTTAAGTAGGAAAGTATCTATCAATCATGCAATTCAGTTCCTTAAAAAGGTGATTACATTTACTTTGTGCAGTTGGCTTTGCAAAGATTTCTGACCAACCATGGTTAATAATCCATTGTCCAAACTGTCTTAATGAAGATTCTTTCATAGGCATAACGCTTCGCTTATATTGGATATTTGGTTGTTTCAATGGGTTTCTTGGGTACCACAGTATATTGTGATCACTGTTTGCTAAGGGTGGAATAGTACTTGGTTCTTCAAAATATGCTGCAGTATATTTGTAATAATTTTGTCTAAAGTTGCATTGATTCTGGTTGCCTTTTTAACAACTTGATTTTAATTCCCTATAGTAAGATTCGAAGTATCGATTCTATTCATGTCACCGGCTAATACAATTCCTGCATGAAGATGTTTAGTGGTTATTGAGTCCACTATGTGTTGAAGGCATAACGTTACTGAATTTGGGTTGTTTGCAGAAGGGGGCGTATATATAGCACAATAAAATAAGTATCAAATTGATCTTGGTAGGTGTTTTTGGTCTCACTTTGATCCAAAGCATTTCATGATTCTTTGCTAGTTCTGCATCATCACAGTTTAACAGTTTAGATAAATTTACAGGCTCAGCATGCAGTGACTCCTCAATGTATAGAGCCACTCTTCCATGTGGGTTATCCTGTCTCGGTTTTGAAAACAGTGTGTAGCCTTCTACTTTTAAGTGATTGTTGGCAATATTGCAATATGGAAATAATGGCAATGGTAAACTAGTTGATTTAAAAAAAGGCACTTGTATACTTGTACAGTTTTTTATTTTTCCTTTTCTTTTATTTTTCTCTTAATTTTCAATATGTTTTGTATGTACTTTCATTGTACGAAGAAGATAAAATAAATAAAATGATAAATGACAAAAAGAATTAGATTTGAACTCGTCACTTTTGAGGTGATCCTTTTGTCAGGCAAAAGGACTCTCAGCTTGCAGCGCTGGAAAGTGAAATATTAAAAAATACTGTTGCCAGGATTTTCAAACTGTACAGGACAATATTAAGTCTGCCGCCCTCTCTCGGGGTCTTCAAATATTAAGATAGAGGAGGTGGAGAGAGGTTAGAAAAACATTCTTTTTGACCATGATGACGTCATCAAAGTAAAAAAATGATTGAAACATTGAGAAAGAAAATTGTCTCAGCTATAACATACTCGAAGGTAGGAGATGACCGATCAAGAATAAGCGAGATAATTTCAAAAAAATTATACAAATATTGACGTCATGAATCAAAATTGGTTTTTAAAAATTCAGATGCAATATGATGACACCACAACGTCCGATCAGTTAAAAAATCTATAAAATCATATCTACAACTCATGGGCTTTCAGAATATGTAATAAAAATTGTCACCTTTCATCCTAAGGAGCTATAACTGACTAAACATTTTAAGCATAATTTCATTGTATATCGGCACAAACGCGCGCAAAGATCACTATGTTTTATGCGTGCGTACGGCATTGCTATTGGCCATAAAATGACTGAAAAGAATGGAAATTTTTGAAAACAATGTCAGGAACCCAAACTATGTAAAAAAATAAAACCTAATGTCTAGCTTCCGTACGTGCTGTGCGCGCGTAGTGGAAAATTAAAAAAAAAATTGAAATGCTCAAAATGACCTGAAACATGCTCCAATTTAGTCAAAAAAAATTTTTGAAATTTTGATTTTTTAATTTTGATTTTGATCCCCACTAGATCACCAAAAAATTACATTGTCAGACTATGTCTGTCCTCAGATCACTCTCAAGAAAATTCAAATTACACAATGGAGTTTTTCAAGAGTCGGATATTAGTCCCACATTTTACTACACGACTGCAAACTCCAGCATTTTAAATAATGCTGGAGTTTGGTTGCATATGTACCCAGATGATATACAAATTGCAAGTTGAGTTGAATTATTGAAATGAATTTCTTTGTTTCCTCATATCTTTTTTTGTTATTTTTGTTTTTTTAATGTATTGACATTTTCTTGATACTCGATGTTTGGCATTTTATGTGAGTGCTTTGTAGAAATAGCGCTATATAAGCAACAACAGCTGTAAAAAAATGTATAACACATTGTATTAATACAATTGATTTACATTACAGTCTCAAAACCAGTTATGTTGTTATTCAAACACTAATGAAATAATGTTGAAAGAAAGTGTTTTAAAGGTTTGCATGGTGAAGAATGTAAATGTCTTTGAAAAGAACTGTTGTGTTTGGATGCACCATCAAACTGATGGGTGCCGCTGTTTCAAAAGCGATTTCCAAATAATTATAATTATTATTATTGTTTGTTGAGAATGTCTGTGAAAGGAACTGTTGTTTCTTAAATGTCTCCCATACACAACGTAGAGTAGTTCTTTTCAAAACTATCTACATGGTGTACCTCAAGCATTAAATATAGATGTTGAATTTGCAAAAAAAAAATCATTAAAAAGTATAAAAAAAAAGTACAAAAAATGAAAACTAACTTCAAGACAAACAACATGTTAGACTCGAGAGACTCGAGACTACAGCTTCAAGGGAGATATGAAGACCCATAACCATTTCGCGCTATATAAGCTGACCTAGACTTGCCACAAGTCTCTTATTTTTTATTATTTTTCTCATTCTGGACAGCGCCACCAACGAGAAAGTTAATTTAGAAATAGACGGAATAAGCGACTTGTAAAACACTGAATGCAGGCGCCAGGATGCCAAAAGAATGACGTAATCTTATATTCCGTATTTGGATAAATGGGCGAACCGAAATAAACAATTTCAACCAATCAAATGTTCATATTTTTGGAGCCACGAAACTGAGTCACTCGCGTCGACTAGGCCTAGTTAGGCATGACTAAATTTATCCTCCCTAATAAAACGGGCCTAAAATATTTAGAATAGACCCTAGTAAGACTAATTTTGGCAATGGCAAAAACAATTAAGCTTAGACTTGATGGCATACCATACAAATACAACAAAACTTTCGAGGAGGATGGATCAGGCCTCGTCTGGAGTCAGGAGTAGGCCTAGCCTAGACTAGTAGTAGAGGCTTGGCGTATTATTAAGTTCTTACTTACAGAGGCCTACCTTTTTAACAATATTCTACCCTAAAGACCTAAATCTGTGTAGCAGCTAGCGGTGAGCATGGTTCCTATAGCCTACGGTTATCAGTCCATATCGTTCTCAGCAGGTCAGAACTATACTAACTGTTTTAATTCAAGTATAGGTAGCCAACGAGCTGGTTCTTGTTCTAGTCGAGACATCCGCATCTTCAATTTTGAAAGTTTACCAAGATTGATTATTATGCATGAAGTTGGCCAGTCACGTGATTTACGAAATCAGTCATGCATACGATATCCCACATCAAATTTGATGTGGGAAATCGTACGCATGAACCGTTTGCCCAGGCCCTAATTCGAAATTATTATTACTCTTTAAGTGGCCCTCAGATCGTCACTAAAATGTGATTATTTCTTCATTGAGCCACGACAAAACTATTCTAAAATGTTTCATTTGGGCATCGTCACCAAAATTTAGTCATTTCTGTATTGTAACATGAAACTCCATACTGTAAGGTTTCGATTAGATCAACTGTTGTGTTTTAGGGATATTTAAATCCTGGGACGTTAGCACTTTTAATTACAACTTAATTCACAACTGGATCAGGATCGTCACTAACCTTAACTAATATCTTCATTTTCACTTGGTTAAGCTTTACAAAGCATTGTCGTTCAAATCATTAGATCAGTTTTTGATATATCTGGCATGGGACTTTCCATTTAAATTGTCCTCATATTTACACCTTTATCTGGATTGTCACAAAAAAATAATATTAATTATTTTTTCATTAGACCATGAAAAGTTCTGAAAAGTTTCATTTATATCCATTGATATGTTTTTAGAGATATTTAGCGTGGGGACGTTAACACATTAAATGACCCTCTCTTTATACACTAACTGCGATCGTCTCCGAAATGTAATAATTTCTTCCTTGTAACTTTGGTAAACTTGTCTACAAAACTTTTTGGTAAACAAGGTCTGAGACGTTTTCTTTTGAATGATCCTCATATCCACACCCTACTTCGGATTTTCACCAAAATTTTCCACTCTTTTCACTGTTAAAAGTTTAATATTAGAACACTAATTTAAGATATTTAAGTCGGGGACGTTAGAACTTTACATGACCTTCAAATCCACACCCTTTGAATGGTCCTCATATCCACATTCTACTACGGGTCGCCACAAAAATGTAATCATTTCTTGATTAAATAACGACAAACTCCTTAAATTTACACTATAAAGTGGACTGTCAACAAAACATAATATTTTTTCCTTGTAACTAGGATAAACTTTCCCGAAATTTTCATTCAGATCAGTTGATCCGTGTTGGAATTATCCAATGTGGTGTGTTTGCCTTTAAATTTCTCACATCCACTTCTCGATATAGATTGTCACTAATTTTTTCGAGGACAAAGCTTGGAAAAGATCTAAGAATGGACATTGACAAAAGTGCCAGGCGGGAAAACCCAGTTCAAAAAGTTAGAAAGAACGATATCTAATTTTGTTGACGATCCAGATTAAATAATTTTTTATTGTATTTCATTCTGTTCATTGGCGGGTTTGTCGCTGTTTGGATGTAAAATTAAATCAAATAAATGATGTAATTACTTCAATTTTGAAGTTATTAGGCCTGCCACATATATTTTGCGTGCCATGCTCAAATACAAAACAATACTGTAAAGCAGGTGTATTTACCTCACGGGCCTTTTCCATCTGAAGTTCTACTATCATAGAACCAAGTTTTTCTTCCTGCTTCTTTAGTTCTCGTGAACGCTCATGAAGCATCTCAACACGAATCTGTGGATTGTGAAAACAACTGCAGTTTACTCCATTCCAACAAATCACAACAATTAGAACTAAACCATGAGGTGCATTATGGTACACATGCATGAAAGCTATTACTACACCTCAATCAGCCCAACTAAATTCTTCAACTTGTCCCTAGCATAATGTTTTCTGGGATTTATTTACTTTCATGTTCTTGCACCAACAATCAAACATGTATTTCTTTCTTTAAGATAATCACTTAAGATGATTCGTTGCCTCATTAACAGGTAGTGATGCTGAAAATGATTCCGGTATTTAGGATGTACCTTTCCACCATTAACTTCATTTAGAATGTTTCACTCCATTATTACCATTTAGTGTTGCTGAAAACGATTCCAATATTTAGGATGTACCTTTCCACCGCTTACTGATAGTACTCCTGATAATGACTTTGGTATTCAGGGTGCATTCCACCATTAACCGGCAGTGCTCCTGATAATGACTCTGGTATTTAAGATATACTGTTCCACCATTAACCAGTAGTGCTCCTGATGACTCCTCTTGCATTTAGGATGTACCGGTTCCCCAATAACAAGGAGTTCTGCTGATAATGACTTTGATATTCTAAATGGTTCTTTATATTTTCATTATTTTCTTTCCCCGTTTTCCTAAATCTATTTTCGGCATATTGAATACAATAGATCTTACATTATCAAAGTCATCCTCTGCCTGGGGTTTCTCAGAACTTAGCAGAGCTAATCGTTGTTCAGCATGTTTAATCATCATCATCTGGCTTTCCTCTCTATCATCTTCATTATCACTACCAAGCTGCTTAGATCGCAAAAGTCTCTAGTCATTGAAAAATAGGAACGGTCAATGTGAAATATTTTCATGTAAACTTTCCTTTTGGAATTCAAGGGTAAGTGTCTTAACCACAAAATCTTCTATTTTAGATTTTAAACATTAAACTCACTCTCTTTTCTTGCTGCTGTTGCCTCTCTAATTTCTCCATCTCTGTTGCCCTTCTAACTTCAATTTTTTCTTCCATTTTTCGCCTTTGGTGAAGTTTGTTCAGTGTTAAGTTATTTTCTAATTTGACCATCAGTTTTTTATGTTCCTGCATTATCTTGTATCTATCAATTTCAGACATCACTAATTGTGCTGCCAGAAGTTTTCTGAACCAAGATAAAAACAAGCCTTGGTTATCCATTTGCTGTTTGATTAGTATATGCTTCCTCAGCCAATTTTCATTTTAAACACCCACTTGCAGTTGGATGAGAATGTATATTGTATATAATTACATAATAATGCCTCAATAAATTTACTTTATAAACCCCATTGGTGGCCCGTAGGTAAAATGTAGGGTATGTTAGGAGATGCAAGTGGGAAAATTTCCATCTATTAGCCTACGATCAAAGACTGCATTCTATAAATTAAAAATGCAAATGTATACGTGGTTGTAGTTTCTTTGCTGTATTTCATATCCCTGTAAGTTTAACAAATTACAATTTAAATAATAGTTTATTCTATACCAAATATACTTTTAACTTTTAGAGTTTTAAGAAATTCAAATTACCCATTTGGCATTGGAGGCCAGTTAAGCTAACAGTGAAGTAGAGGAGCATGCCCACATACACTTGGAAGCAGTACATCTAAACCAGTATTTAATTAAGCTATTCTAACGCCACCTCACGGTTAAAAGATTAGCAAATTAATCATTATATAGTACAGTATTCACTCACAAGCGTTTGTTAGTATAAAAAAACAACCATGCGTAAATTCTACGCAGCTAAGAGTACAATGCAATGCAATAGACCCTATCCTAGATATCGACGTAGACATAAAGATTGAAAAACTAATAATATTAACGTATCCATGCAATTAAAATTAGAAGAATTTGGATGCTAAATGCTAAATAAAACGTCAAAATTGGACAACATAATATTTTGTTAGGAGTTTCAGATTAAGCATTCGTTATACAACACAACCATTAATAATAAATTATATACATTATTTTTTAAACTCAATTGGCCAGGTTCTCAATACTTACTCAACCAATATCCTTCATTGATTCTTAATGCAGTGCTTATCCAACTATTATATTTTACATTATTAGTCAACAGTATGAGAAATGACAACATCACTTTTAGGACTAACGTGTATACTCTGGCTTTCGTCCACACAGTGGAATTCATCAGGGGGCTGTAAAAATGGGATAAGAAACATCTATACAGATATAAAGAGTTGATCTTCTGATAATATCCACTGTGTGGACGAAAGCTAGAGAACAAATTTTATACAAGGTAGTCCTGAAAGTGCTGCTGTCATTTCTTATATTGTTCTCTAGCAGGCTAAGGGGTAATCCATAATTTTCAACATTTTCAAAAGAGTACAAATCATACTCTTTTGTGTGACCCCCTTCCCTCCCCCTGAAAGAGTATGCAAAAAAATGTTGATTTGTGTCATTTTGAGATCAAAATTTTATCTTTTTCATAAAAGAGTACTTATGCCTACACTTTCAACACTCCCCTCCACCCCAAAGTGTATGTTTTGTGCTCTTTTGAAAATGTTGCTGATTATGGATGGCCCCTAACGCGACTACACTTTTATTCATCATTATTATTATTATTATTATTATTATTATTATTATTATTATTATTATTATTATTATTATTCAATTGATTCTTAATACTTACTTAACTAACTTATGCACTTATTTTATTATTAATACATACCCAACCATTTTGCTTTCATGTTCACGAATTTGCATTTGTTCATATCTTTCGTCTGCTTTCCTATTTACCCATATTTTTCTTTTTTCAGCTAAGCGTTTCTGAGAGATTAAAGTTGCAGATTTTAAAAAGATAAAACCTCAACAATTAAACCAAAAACATTTCACATATGTGAAATGTTAGAGTGTATATTATGCAAAATACTTTTAAAATTGAATTATTTGCACTTGATTGAAGGGTCTGATAAAAAAAAGCAATTGTGGATACCTTTATTTCTTCTTCTTGTTTTGTTTTTCGTTTGTCCCTTTCTTTTCTCAGTTGGTCTCTTTTTTCTTGATGTTCCTCTAATATTTCATCCTTCATCTTCTTAGTCAAACCTAGAGCAATTATGTATAAAATAAAACAAATTTGAACAAGTTTTCAACTAAATTGATGACAGAGAGAAAAACAATGATTGCATTGAAAATAGATCTATTAATCAATCTATAAAACCTGTATAGCGTCAAATTTATCATTAAATGCAATGATGATTTTAATTAATTGTGATGTCTCTCTCGGTGACAATGTTTTTGACTCCGACCAGGAATCTCTTTTAATCACGTTTGATTTTAGTCGGCTTCAGTGCTTGAAACACAGGAACAGAAATGTGTTTGCCTATTCCGGGCCAATTGGCCAGTTATTTGTAATGCTTTTAATAACTTCCCATGGAATATAATAAATTCATTTGAAATTGTAAACGACATGCTTGTTCTGCTTTACACTGTTGTTGTTGATTCAACCATTAGAAAATTTGTTCCAATTACTGTGCCTAAAAAACAATGTCCCCCTTGGTTCGATAAAGATCTATAGAAAAACTCTGAAAGTAAAAGAATCAAAACATAAACTTATGAAATTATACAGAACCAATTATCATTCGGAAGATTTTAAAACTGCTAGAAGAAATTTTAAAGTGAGGTTAAGCACAAGGCTTATGTCAAACAGTAATCCGGCAAAGAAAATTCAAAGAGATTCTGGTCCTGGATAAAGTCTAACCATAACGATCACTGTCTCCATCCACAATAACTTTTGGAAACAATCAAGATTTTGCCACTTCTATTGACTGCTATTTTCCAACAATCCATTGATTCCGGTTGTTTCCCACTCTCTTAAAGTGGAAAATATCTGCCCTCATAAGGGTGGTTCTAAATGGATACGTAACTATCTTTATGGTAGACAGCAAAGAGTTCTTTATAACGGTTGTACATTAGATGGGCTGCCTGTCACCTCCGGTGTCCCCCAGGGATCCGAACTGGGTCCCTTATTTTTCAATGTTTATTAATGATATTTCGTTCAATTTTAATTCCCACAGTTTATTATAATCCAGAATTATTATTATTATTATTATTATTATTATTATTATTATTATTATTATTATTATTATTATTATTATTACCGGTATTATTATTACCGGTATTATTATTACCGGTATTATTATTACCGGTATTATTATTACCGGTATTATTATTATTATTATTATTATTATTATTATTATTATTATTATTATTATTATTATTATTATTATTTTCTGATGATCTGAAGTTGTTTCGTACTGTGCGCTCTGTTAGCGACAACTTCTCCTTCAAGATGATCTGGATGAATTAGTAGACTGGCCATCGAGATGGAAGATGGAAGATATCGCTTAATCCATCTAAATGTAAAAGCCTTATATTTCCTTTAAAAAATATCCAATTGTGCATGATTATCATTTTAATTCTTGCAATATAGAATGAGTTTCTGTTCAAAAAGATTTGGGAATATTCGTTGATAGAAAGCTAACCTTTAGTCATGTCGACTTCATTGTTGCCAGGGTCAATCGTTTACTTGGAATGTTATGGCGGAATTGTCGCACTCTTGATTACAATAATAAAGTTGTTCTTTATTGTTCCTTAGTTAGATCTGGTTTAGAGTTTTCTTCAGTTCAGTCGAACGCATTTAAACTAAGTTTTTGAGATTTATTGGCAGTGTGCAATTTAGATTCTTTAAAAAGGCGCAGGCAGATATTTCATCTTGTTTTTCTCTATAGGTGTGTTAATTCCTGATTCTCGTGTAATATGTTCCCTCGTCGTTCTTTGAAAGTTTCCCGTCCCAATATGCGTAGGCAAGACCTTTTGTTTAGTTCCAAATTGTACAATCAAAAAATGGATTTATCTGTAGAATTTCCTTTTCATATAATTATGTTACAAACAGTGAGCCATTAAGTGATATCTTTCACCAACCTATTCATTCATTTTTTAGTCATTTGATCATTAATTTTACTGTGGAATTGTATTTTATTGATTTTTTTTACAATGTTCTTTGTACATTGTAACTTTTGTAAATTCATCTTATATGAATATTTTTGTACTGTTTTTAATATTTTTGAATGGTTTTATTGTGACTTTTATCGATATTATTTTGATTTTATATTTTATTACTCTATTCTCCCTGTTATTGACGTTCTCGCCGTTGGGAGTGAAATGAAATGAAATAAAATAAATGAATAAAAACTACAATGAGCCCCATGAGTAACAGATTCATTTATATAAAACAACTTTTATTCAGAACCAACAAGAACACGTTACAAAAAGAATAAAAGGAAAACAAAAATAACTCCCTCGGGTCATGTCCTTAAAATAAACGACAAGGAAGGATACAAAGCCCAACAGATTACAAAAGAAGACAGACAAGAGAAGAAGGGAAAGAGAAAACAAGACAAGCACGGAGAGAAGACAAATCGTTTACTAATCCAACTAAAATCTAATGATTATGTATGAAACTGAATATGCAGAAAAATTTGAATTTGACAACATAACTCCTGATTATGTTTTTGACCTAATTATTAGTTTCTTTTAAATATCAAAGCTTCAGGCATTGGTGGATTTGAAATTAACATTTTTCAAATTAGCTGGGACTATTATTTTTCACTTGATAATTTATATTTTAAAATTATCTTTTATATCTATATTTAATGCTTTAGTTCCTTTCCACCCTTTTATGGTCTTTATATTTTAAAATTTGTATGTATTTTCTAATTATAAACACTTGATTATGATGATGAGTAAAATGTTGATGTTGATTATACTGATGGTAATGATGGAAATGATGATAGTGATTAAAATGATTATAATTATTATTATTATTATTATTATTATTATTATTATTATTAATTTTGAGATTATACGATTATAAGATGAGAATGATGATCGATATATTGATTATGATGATGATTTGTGTCTGTGAAATATTGTGTGGAAGATCATATTAAACACAGATATGAGGATGATTTTTCTGTGAATATAATATTTATATTAAAATCTGTTTCATTTAGGTGTGTTTATTATTTAATTCTGGTACACATAGAGCTAATAATAATAATAATAATAATAATAATAATAATAATAATAATAATAATAATAATAATAATAATAATAATAACCAGAACCCTGCAGGTGCGTACGTTCCTTTGTACGTAAAAAAAGTTCTGAGAAGTGCAGGGATGTCGTTATGCAGGGCGGGGTGGGCAGCGCCGCCCACTCTTGACGTCTTGCGCCAATCCTAAAGTTATTATTAAGGTCTTCCGCCAGCCTCATACAAATTCTCCCCCCCCCCCTTAAAATCATGAAGAAACACAGGTTTTTGCTCCATAAACCGTATTTTCCGGTGAATAAGCCGCAAATTTAATACGCGATTTTCCCCTCGAAGTTTGGGGTGTGACCTATACACCAGTCGTTAACCTACTCCCAAAAAGTTCAGATTGCGAGCCGCAGCGAAAATCAGGCGCCGTCTGTCTAGCTTGGGCCCATGCTCCTACTAACTAGCCCAATTAATTAGCCTAGGCTTTGAAGGGCTAGTATTTGTAATTATACTTACTATACAGTGCTGTACTGTCCTACTACATTTTCTACGACAATCAAGCAATGGTTTGTGTTGTTTAAATAATTATTTTCATAGTTACGTTCACTCAAACAATTTTGAAACAAGTTTAATTCGAAACCGCTTCGCTCAAAACAATAAATAAAATTCTTTTCGGGAGTGTGGTCCTAGAGGTCACGTGAGCAGGTGTATTCGAAACGCTGTTCCTCCTGTGTGTTCACGAACGTGACGTAAACCCGAGAAACAATTCTCGAGTTTCGAACGGCCAAGAGCAGTTTCTATGACAACGTTTTGTATCAATATGGCGTTTACTGACACGATTTAGACGGCTTAGAGAAGTATACAGCAAGGATGTTAAACATATCTGCAATATCATAACATGTGCATGTGCTCTACACAATAAGTGTATATTGGCTGATAATGATGTGGAGATTTTTTCTACTGAGGAGGAACAAAATGAAGTGAATGGGTACGAGAACATTTTCCGAAATGACAATCGTGGTGTGGACTTTCGAAATGAACTTCTGAATACCGTACAGATGTAAAAAGATTAAAGTCATGGACACTAAGTAACGATTTCTAGCAAGACTTACTTAATTAGAAACATTTTCATTAAACTCTGGAACATTGCAATATCTCATAAACATAATAGAAAAAAATCAAAAACAACATAAAATCTTAACTGCTATCCTTGCATATTTTTTTATTCTTGACTTTTTAAAACTGCAATTAACAAAAACAAAAGTATTTTGACCAAGTTTTCTGATTAGCTTTTATCCTTTTCCAGTATGTCCAGGAAGCGATCCAACCTCTGCATTTTTTGATCATGTCTTCTTTCAACAGCCTCGTCCCTATCTTCTCTCTTGTTATCCTGTCCTTCAGTGTATGACATCAGCCACTGTACAGTGGGGCTCACGACAGGCTTGCGGCCCTTTCTGCCCACAACCTTGTTCTTTGGAATCAAATGATCCTCACCAATTTCATTATTAGTAGAATCACTAGAATCCTGAGCAACTGGAAGAGCATCAACTGTACACTCTGGCCTAATGGATGGCTTGTTCCCATATAATTTATCAAATGTGTCATAAAAAAGACATGTTTTTGGATCGTTTCCTGTTTTAGAATTATGGTCAACAGTGTCTGTGTATGATCTTTTCAAGGACTTCCACTTATTAGAGCACTTCTCTCCGCTAAAATCGTACCCTTGTTTAGCCATTTCTGCCGCAATTTCTGCCCAGAGGGTCTTGTGTGATCTTTTTCCTTTGTCAAAGACTGGTTGTCTTTCAACACGTAGGCTTACCAGAAGTTTTGTCTCGCAGCTATCCCAAATCTTTGGAACATTTCGAGCTGAAAATAATTGAAATTCAAACTTAAAGACCCTTGTAGTATAGTACATAAATTTCCATCTAAACTTCAATTCAGGGTGTACATACATGTTTGATCAGATTATGGTCTAAATGGGAAATAATTAGTATGGAATTCATTGCTGAAAATATCAAAACTGTTCACCTGGCGTCTTATCAATAACTGGCTGATCAATGTCACTGGTTGAAGGATTTGGTGGGTCGGCAGTCTTTTCTTCAGAAACTGAAATTAAATGTGAAATAATAAGAGGAAGATAAGTATCCACCAGACTCTATCTCACGCGTCCTCATAACCAATAAAAGGGAACCTAATTTGAAGTAGGCCAACACATATTCTTACCAGGTTATTTCTGTTGAGTGTCCTGATTTCCAAAGGCTTCTAAACATCTTTTACGCATGTTATTGATAAGTTTAGTATCTGCAAATGAAGCAAAAATGTATTTTTTTAAGCTACTTAATTAGGGCAGGCTTAAAATACCAATCATCCTCCCTAGATTTATTTAGAAAACGGCAACACATAGGCCTACCATTATTCAAAATCTGTTCATAAGTTGGTAAATCTACTCTGAAGGTAATTTCCACATCATCTTCGTATTTTATTGTGACATCCCTCATGCTAAAATTAACATAAAGAAAGAATAAGACAGAGAAAAGTATGGCTTTTGTATTTTTGTGGAATATAAATAAGAAATCATAGGCCTAGGCCTATATACTGTATATGATATGATAAATACATGCTGTCATACAGTATTGTCAAATAATAATACTATTGGCAGTCATCTAGCATTAAGTCTTTTTCTATACAAAAGGAAAAATAAAACGGTGTTATTTAGCCTTTGCTTTGCCACGAAAATGTTTCAGAAACTTTTTAATTTTATTTCACTGCTCCACTTGCTGTCCGATCGCAGGTTTGTCGCGCAAAATGAGAAATTCTATACACATTAATTACATTTTCACAAATGCATATCTTCCCTATCAGTTTCCCCATCAGCTGCTATCGCCCCCGTAGTAGTATCCTTGGACATTGGCAATAATACTTAAAATAGAAACTTACTTGGTACGAGAACCTGCCTCCTCCGCCATGTTTGTTCTTCATCACACCCACTATCGAGGTAGTGTGAGTTTTGAGAACAAGAACGCGTTCGCGAACGTGTTCCGTGGTATTCGAGACTTCCCATAACGTGTTCTCCGACTGTTCCTCGTTCGCGAACAGCGTTTCGAATACACCTTTGATGTCGCAACAAAACACACGTGGGCTGTTGAAACTTTCTGTTTTGGCCTAGTAAATGTAAATAAATAACACACCGGGGAGCTTTGCCTGTGTAGTCCAGTCATGCGCAGTACATATTCTTTTGGACTTTGTTACTTTTTCGAATCGTCGATCCGAAAGTATTCATATATATGTATATATTGTATTTATTTATATAATTATATATATATATATATATATATATATATATATTATTTTATATATACTGTATTTATATATATATTTCTTTATATATTTTTTTATTTATTTGTATATTTATTTATATATATATTTATATATATTAATA